GTAAAAATAAAATTTGTACCTTTATCAAATCGTGTTGATATGATTGATATCAGTAGACACTTGGGTGAGATTCTCTATGTATAATGTACGAGTTTGGTTACTTATGGATCACCTATAAAAAACATATCAAAATCAACGCAAACATGTTTGATTTCAACATCAATGTCAAAGTAGCTATATTCAACAATATGTGGCAGGTTACTCAATTATGTCTTGAGTGGAATTGTATCTAGCTTGACTGAATTAGAAAATCAATTAGTCTCTTCCACATTTGCACAGTGCAGTGCACTTTAGAGCTGCTTTTACATACTTGGACCGGATTGAACATTTTTCACACAGTATTCATTATTATTAGCATCTAAAGGATATTTGTATAGCAAAAAGTTCTTTCTTGTTGGCATCACACCATAAAATCTTGTCAGTTCTGAGGAACACATGAATTGGCTTCCACTCGTCGTCCTTTTCCACTTCCTCTTTTTGTTCTTGCACTGGATTTTACGTTGTGTGTTGATATTTGTCCCAAACAACATACACTCTCTGATTGGAGTTCAGAGGAGTATGCAAGGATTTCAAGAACACACTATAAAATATCCATCCAATGTAATTTGAGCTGCGGGTTTTAGCATGTTTATTACTGCGACTCCATCAAGGTTTGATACGTCAACATCCGGTTTTGAGTCAGTTTATGGTGAAATGTCTTCAAAGCAATTGAGAAGAACTGATTTTGTGCATGGACGTAGAGAACCTTGATGAGATATAGACTGACTGACTGACTGAGTTTGGTTTTACGCCGCTTTTAGCAATATTCCAGCAACATCACGGCGGGGGACACCAGAAATGGGCTTCACTCATTGTACCCAAGTGGGGATTTGATGAGATATAGATGGTACGCAAGAGTGATATTCATGTCTGAAAAACTCATTCAGGTTTCCATCCCTTGACTCGTCTGTATATATCTTGTCTTTATTGAAGAAATTGTACATTCATACTGTGGACACAAATGTAGTTGTGTTGGCCATAGCTGCAACAAGCTTTCTCGATCCCTACCAATGTTTCACAGCTTACAGGAAGTGACAGTGTGTCATTCTTTGGTAGAATTGGAAAGAAGACCTCGTGGAATGGGATGGAACGCGTTTACTGAAATTACAGGCACCTTTATTTCCCTTGCTCATCCACCACTTGAAATCACTAATGCACAGATTCATCAGCTTGAGAGATTTGTTGTGCTGCTGACAGAGCAAGCAACCACATGAAAGTGAATGAAGCAAGAAAGCATTTGTTCCCCACGAAGGGGAGAACATTGGACAATACACCCCCAACAGAATCAGCTTTGATCCAACATATAGAGAGCTGTATATCAGGGGGCTTGTGTTTGGGGGCAATCCCTGATGAAATCACAGGAGTTACCAAGCCCTCTTGATAGGGGCTGGCAATAACTTTCTCAGGGAGAGCTTGTACCTCTATTTTCAAGTCTACTGAAGGCATCAAAGAGCTGCCAGGAATTGCTGAAATGCATTGTGGGCGAGCGGGGGGCATGGTGGGCGAGCTGTCTTAGGCACCAGGTTAGTGGTCCAACGAGCTTGCCGGGATCAATCCCACCTGTAACCAGCTGTTAAAACCTTGGAGTCAACTTTCTGTGCAGACTCTTTAAGTGTCACAACCCCTAGTGTACAGTACACAACCTTGTGCACTTAAACGAACCCATGAATCTGTTGGTAAATGACAAGATGGCGGCCACGTGAATACGTGCAAATACCTAGTTGCGGGTACAGCAATGTTCAGTAAACCTGTACAAGGTACTGTGACTATGTGTCCAAGTCCACCAAGCTGTGAATGGGTACCTCGCAAGGATGGGAAAGCCGCAACAATTTGGTGCGCCGAGTGGCTGCAAGAGTTGTATGTGCCCCGGGAGTTGAGATTGATAATACAATGTGCCGTTGAGATTGACATCCAATGATCAAGGGGGGAAAAACCGAGCGCCTTGAGCATGTATCAGTTCGTGGATATGTGCGTTATATAAATATCCTATAATATAATAATAATAATGATATAGACTGTGTAAAAAAAATTCAAACCGGTCCAAATGCGTAAAAGCAGCTCTAAAGTGCACTGCACTGTGCAAATGTGGAGGAGACGATTTTCTAATTCAGTCAAGCTAGATACAATTCCACTCAAGACATAAATGAGTAACCTGCCACAGAATGTTGAAATAGCTGCTTTGGCATTGATGTTGAAATCAGTCATGTTTGCGTTGATTTTGATATGGTTTTTATAGGTGATTCATAGGCAACCAACGTCATACATTATACATGTAAGTAGATCTTCTGATATATTCCTTCAAAAACTTTCATTTGTTCTCGCAATATTCTTGATACATAATTTATTAGGATTTGGAAATCTAAGACTGACCAAAGGTAAAATATTTTGAAAGATTCCACCCACCCACCTTCCTTTTTCCGCCCAAAAAATGTAAAATGGCCAAAATCTGCAAGGCTTTTCGTTTTGAATTTGCAAAGAAATGATAAAAAAATGTTAGATCATAGGATTATCTCATACTTATTTTATTGTTGTAGTCGATATGGCGGCCATTTTGAAAAATGTCCGTCAATTTTCCCTTTTTCGGATTGTCATGATATAAATTAACTTCCATAGACCTAACCATTAAAGACAGACAAGACATGTATGTATGGAAAATAATCAGCTTTGAATTTTCTACAATTTGATATATGATGTTTGAGAATTGGAGAATTTAAAAAAAAGTTATGATGAAAATAGTAGAAAAAATTATCATTTTTCACTTTTCCCCCAAAAAAATATGAAAAATATCAAAAATCTGCGAGGCCTCTCGATCTTTGTTTAATAAGAATGGTATAAGCTACAATCATGCCAGATTTCATGCTTGTAACACAAAGTGCACAATTCAGTGAAAAAACTGCACTTATCCGCTGGGCTAATATAACGATGGACTGTAACTAAAAAGATAGAATGCCTTATTCTGCAAGAAAACATTTATCTAGATGTATGGCCGAGAATGCTCTGGATGAATGAATGTAGTTATTGGGAAAGGGAAGCAGTTCACTGGTTATAGTAACTGATACCACTCGGTCGCGAAGACATGAACATCTCCATGTAGAAAATCAGATTCTCTGACGGGGACAACCCAGCACTTTAACCGTTATGTATGCCACTCCACTGCCCTTAATTTATGAAAGGGTAATGGGCGGAACTTTTATTGAGACGATCATCTAATGTATACATGACACGTTTATATGGATAACAACTTATGACCGCCTCCGTGGTGTAGTGGTTAGAGCGTCCGCCCGGAGAGCGGAAGGCCGCAGGTTCGATCCCTGATAGAGTCATACCAAAAGACGTTAAAATAAGGTACTTGTTGGTTCCTGCCTGGCGCCCGCTATTAATACAACAAGGACTGGTCGGCTCGGAGTCAGTATAATGTGTCTGAGTGGGGTATTTAGGAGATAAACCTACTGTGTTGAAAATCAGAGGTATATAACGAAATTATAATAGCTCTAAATTTCATTTAAAACCGAACCGAACGCGTAGAGCTATTATAATTTCGTTATATACCTCTGATTTTCCAACACAGTAGGTTTATCTCCATTCTACCATGAACAATTTCAGGTGGAGCTCTTTCTCTGGTTACGAGTCAATACGTGAAGCGGCCTCGCATTCCAATCTCAAGTGGCATCGCCCGAAACGGGGTGGTTGGTGGCAAACCGTCAATGACTAACAAACTCCAGATTCAGTAATAAGAAATCACGTTTTGTTTTTTCAATGCATCAATCACCAATCATTAACTGATAAGTTGGAAAACATATATCAAATAAGTTTAAAAAGCTTGGTTCACATTTGAAAATTCCACCGTAGACCCTTTCCCCACCAAAATAATGGCAGCAACCTCATGGCCTTGACCTTTTCTCGGAAGTCATTGTTTACATTTACGTGCAAATTTGGAAAGATGCGACAGTAGAGCCTCTGACAGTTTGCGCAAGGTTAACCTGATTGTATGACTGAGATAGTCTTTGATATCTTATTACTGGTACTGGTACAGAATTTAAGAGTAGAGGCGCTTTTGCTGTACCGAATTTAGATACTGTTGAATTTTGCGCCCTGTCAACTTGACAATTTCACGCACCTGTACGTCTGCGTGCGACAGCTGTGGTGACTCTTACACACCCATGTGTGTACTTTGTGCTCAAATTCGAGGTGAAATTGGGTATAACGTCGTGCTTGAGAATATTTCGCTCATATGACGACGTGCATGTGTGTGTATGTGTATGTGCGGCTGCTTGTACTAGCCCAGACTTAAGCTGTTTTTATAGTGATAGCCCACTGAGATACCATGCCGCAGTGAAGCATGAATACCCAACTCAGACACATTATACTGACTCCGAGCCGACCAGTCCTTGTACCCATTAATGCCGAGCGCCAGGCAGGGGACCAACAAGAACCATATTTTAACGTCTTTTAGTATGACGCGGTCGGGGATGGAACCCGCGACCTTCCGCTCTCCGGGCGGACGCTGTAACCACTACACCACGGAGGCGGTCTCAAATGTTTAGAATTACATGGATCATTTCGAACATAACAAAGGTAACAGAGATCAAACTTGCGCAAACATTCAGGTTCTTCACTGAGAGGCAAATAGCACATTTTTATATCCATACTAGAATGCAACACGAAAGTAACAATTCTGTTTTAGGCCTTGTGTTTACTGAGCATGGAACAGTGAATGGGTGAGTTTGATTCAACGCTGTTTCGAAAAGTTTTCTGTTGCATGACGACGTTTTATCTGGAAGCAGGTTTGCTGTGTTTACCACTGTGGTGAAAGCCACGAGAATGTTTATGTTGTTGATAAACCAACTGGTCCAATTTCGGACTCATCAAAAGAAGTGCAACGAACAATGAATTGCGGCACATTTTAGTCCTCATGGATTATCCATCCAGGCAATATGGCTTGACCAAACAACAGACTAGACGAGCATGTATCATTTTATTCAGAAAGCTTCACGTTTATTGGCCGTGTGGTCACAAGATCGACCCCGCCTGTATTTAGGATTACCACCATCCGGACCACCAGACAGAGGGTTTCCTGAACTTGTAGACGAGTTCTGTGTACTTCAGCTGCGGAAACAAAGAGAGTGATTTCACTGTTACAAAAGCTCACAATTCTTATTGTTTATTCTTATGATCGATTTTTATCTCAAGGATGTAAAGTTTCCGGGTTCAAATTGGGTGGGATATCGTAGCTATGTACATATCCGCTGTATATAAGAATTCGGGGTAATGAGTTACCGAAACAATTTTCCCCTTCTAAGTGGTTTCTTCTGGCTAATCCGCCTGTGAACACGGACGTGTCGAGATTCAGTTTATTATTTTGGGGCAGAACGGCAGAGGTAGAAAAGATTACATCTTCGTTGTTGCAAACTTATTACTTAAATATTCCAGCCTAAACATGTCGCCATAATCGTTTCCATGACATTCCTGAAGTCTCACTTTGATAGAGATTGGACTGTAGTAGAACCGTTTAAAGATTGAATCCTAGCAGTGTATTAGCAACCAATGAAAGTGAAATAGTTAAGCAGTCAGTCCATCATTACAACTCCCCATCTGGGTTATATATTTCCATCATGGAATACCTCTTCAGCGTAGACCTTGTGTTCCAGATCTGCCAGCCTGGCCATAAAGCCCTTGAAGACGTCACACACAGGAACTCGGCCATCAGCTGAAGACAATACCTAATAATAACTTCTTGCATGCTGACGCCACCAATCTTGTTTTCAAAACATCGCACAGTGTTTATTTGATGTCTGTGTTGAACCTGAGAACCTAAGCGTGTTCTGGGCTTTTTTCTGCTTCGGCTGGTGAAAGAGTCAACTAAACATAAATTACGTTCAACAAATGTTCTGAATTAGGATTCATGCAGTGTTATTATTTTGGATTCTAAATTGTGTAGTCATTGTTTGGATACGTTTTGTTGTTTCCTTTCCAATATCAACTAATAACGCTTGTTATGATCATAAATAACACATTTGACAGTTTTTCAGCCACTCAACAGAAGTACAGATTCAAGAACGAGGAAATACTGGATTTAGGTTTAAGTCGTTTACCAGTTCCAAAGACAGGGAAATGGGACTGAAAAAGACAAGCACCACAGCAAATCAATCATTTGTTACACGCCTAGGGGAATTAGAACATGGCAAGCAACGCGCCTACGTCAACCTTGCTTCTTAAACAATATTACGAAAAGTGATATGTCTATGTGGTAATCAGGTACAACAATATCAAAGTAAACTATTCTATTTCTTTGATTCACTACCTACCATCCTTATCAAGCAGGTTGAAGTAAACCACATCCTGGTCGGCAGTGCTGATCATGAGGTCATTGTTGACGTCTTCTAAGTCGAAGAGGCGTCCTGCAACACCCTTGCTGATGCCATACCGCTTCATCTCAAACATCACGAAGGCACAACGATCGATTCCAGTGTTCACTGCACAAAATATATGCATATGAACACACACAAAAACATAAGGCACAGCACACGACCACAGTGTTACCCATACGAGACAATAACAATATGGAGCTCCAACGACCGACTCCAGCGTTATTTGCTCAAGACAAGAACTAAGAAATGAAGGTGCAACAAATGACTCCAACATTAACTGCGCCAGAAGGTGCAAATATTCGCTTGTGATTATATTGTGTAAGCTTTTCATAGATTAATGTTGAAAAATGGACCAACTCTGTAATCGTTATTGACGATTTACTAACATCTATTGCATTGGCAGCATATGTATCATTCAAAGGAATATGCCAACAGGAGATTAGGACGGTACGATTTGCATGAATTCGTTGATCGGTACTATATACGCACCACAGATGAATGTGTAGCATTTTAGGTAAGTGAGTGAGTTTGGTTTTTATTTCTGATGTCACCATCTTTGCGTATTACGGCGTGTATTTACGGATCATCAAAGTGATTGTCAAATGCAAACCCATGATCGGCGGATCCTTGAAAACCAAAGGGGCATGATTCTGCACATCGGAAAATGGCAGTTGGCACCACTAGACCTTATAGTTTTCAGGGATTGGAAGGATTTCGATGATGCTTCTTGAGTACCACCAGACACTATAATCTGTTTCCACTATGTCCTCAGTGCGATGTCAAGCCAACGTGGTAGGGAATAGTTGTTGTACACAGGTGTATTTTGTTTGGGAAAGAAAACAATTTAATCAAAAATGAAAACAATTACTTACGGTTCAGGGAACTGTCCATGGTGGATGCCACTTCTAGGTTGTACATTTCTTCGAAAATGAGGTAGCCGTCTTTGTTGGTGTCGAAAGCCTTGAGGTCATCCAGAACTTGATGCGTGTCAACATCAGTCATGGAGTTGGAGAAGAACCTGCGATAATACAGAAACATGGAGTCGGGGGTCACATCAAATAATGTTTATTAACTTCACCCAATCAACTACCCCACATAGAAAAGACCAGACATACAAATTATACAATATACATTATTATACAGACAAACCGATTTTCTCCTCTAACACGCCATGTTGTCTCAGCGTTTTTGGACATCACCACTGTGTCCAACAAAAAGCATTTAAATAACTTGGTTTCATGGATATTGCGGGTTAATCTGTTCTGCCAACATGAGATACCAGGGCCTCCTTTCACAAAGCACTAAGGCGGTCGTAAGTCACTAAGGCGGTCGTAAGTCACTAAGGTAACTTTAGTGCAATGTTCAAGAATGGGAATTAAGTTTAACCTTAATAAAGGTTGCTTCGTGAGCCCGAGGGCACCAGTGGTTCATTCTTGTCGACAGAAGCGACTTAGGTGGTAATCATGGTTTTGTAATTCTGAGACATTCATATTGTTTTTAGACACGCACATACTATAATATATTATATAAATACACATTCCAATGCTCTGCTCATATAAACATCCAGTTACGTGTCTGGTCCTAGGTCTCTGTAATATAGTGGTACCGGCAACCACCCGCAACATAATGGCGTATATAATGGCAACAAAACTCTTGCCATAGACAAAAGATATTTGCCAAAACACAATCCATTACTATATCCGACCTCCCGCGGCAAGGGAAATAACTCACTATACATTCACACTACCGGACTAAGCTGGAATTATAAAGCTGGATTTTGGTTCACACAAAGATCCGGTTCCTAAGCAACATGATTACAAAAGTATTTAAGTGTATACGCACTGTCCACTGGACGTCGACAGGTATTGTCCAAATCTTTTTTTTTCTATTAGTTTGCCTTGACTGGGGATTCATATAAATGTAGTTTTTACACAGCAAATGATATCACAAGTGGAATCGGTTTGGTCGTCTGGAGGGACATAGAAGGGACATAACTCATAACAGCCACTGGTGGAAATAAGATCGAGTCAAGATTTTCCAGCCTATTTCTGCAAGGGTGGAAACAGGACCTTTACAGTCAGCTAACTCCCTTGTCATTGGAAGAGGGACTATAGTATAAACATGTTATTCGAAATACCTATCGCATAGTATTCATATCAGGTGTTAGCGAAACGATATTCCTACTCCTACTCTTCTTCCTACTCCACTGGAGGCAATAGTCACAAATGCATGCAAAGGCAAAGCAGTTGTTCACCAGTACGAAATAAGAGAATAGTATTATAGTCATATATTCACATGACCGTCTCAGGTGAGGTAGGTCGAAACACCACCACGAACACGGAGAATTCGAAGGTGCTGAGAGACATAATCGGATCACAACCAGCCTATTCTAACTAAGAAAACTAAACTTTGCCAATCGGGTTTTTCATCTCTTGACCACGGCCACGAAGAACCACCAGAAAAACGTCGCCAATTACACATACCAATCTAAATATACATTTATATCTACGTGTGATTGTGGCACAAGTGACTATCGAATAAGCTGTGCATATTTTGCGACCTTATTATCCGACAATTCACCTTTGTCAACACAATACCAGGACTCGCGGATTTTCTAGAGGGGTAGTGTTCAACAGGATTATGAACTTACACCTACTTCAAAGGAGGTCGAGATTTTAAAGATTGAAATAGTGTTATACCCACCAGCCCCTCCTTTGGTTTCGGAAGGAACCGCATTCTGTCTCCCTGTTCTTGCCGAACCAGCTTCCCCAGGCCGATACAGAGCCCACGAACAGGGCCAGACACAACAATGTTCTGTACATCATCTGTGTACAGAGAAGTGCATAACTAATCGAGGAAATATGTATTGATAGAATGTGGCCATTTATAGTTGTCAACAAATACTTTCTTATGATGATAATGCTGGTGATACCATTACATAGGTTTAACAAATGATAAGCACTCACTTCTCCCGAAGAAAGAAGATCATGGGGTATTTACTACAAAAGAGTTCATAATTTGTGGTTTTGGGGGTAAATGATTACATGCGGGTGGGCACTCACTTTGTACATAAATCTTAGGTGGGGGTTCATTCGCATTGTACATGCTTCTCCATAGAAATCATCACCCCTAGCCGTAAATTATGAACAGTCAAATAGTTGCACAGCAAAAAATGATGAAAACGCAAACATATACTTTACATTACCTCTATCTCACAATCATGGATGGATATGTGTATCGATAAATTACAACGTTTTATAGTTCTCAACAAGCAATTTCTTATGAGGGTAATGTTGGTGATACTAGTACAAAGTTTTAATGAATGATAATGAGTAATAAATATACGTACATTGGAAGTGTTCCCATCCTAGCCACTTATCGAACAACGTCAACCACACAACATTAAACATCAGTAATACTGGACAGGCTGTAGAACTCACAATGGTTGGGGTTTGTATGTTAAATATAACTTAATACAGCTTCCAATCGACTGTCGTGAATAAAAAACAGCTTACCTTCGTTCTTCAACCGTGCAACTGCAGAGCTACGCCGGGTACTGTTGATGTTTCTTGCAGCAAACCCGTTCACTTAAACGTTGACCAGAGATCTCAACCTTTCAATCAAAGTGAGGCTCTACACAGGACGCAGTTTCCTACGTATTTGCAATATGCAAAATTCGGATTATCTCCGACCTGAGTGAGGGGATATCCTGAAGAGCTACCCTCAATGCTGAATTTGTTTAGAGTCCCAGTGAGTGCTTGAGCCAGTCACTGAATGAGGGTATTCCCGTCGATATTCCCGTCACTAGCAAAAACATTTCATTTCTGAAAAATGTTTCTTTTTAAATTCAATTGACCGAATTCAGCTGAATGTTTCATCACAACACGTTGTCCAGTGTTGATGCCGGGACATTATCGTGATCCTGAAGACATGATAGACACAGAATGGTCTCTATACGTGACAGTACATCCTTTTACTAGAATGTGAAGAGAAGAACAGTTCACAACATAGTAGTTCGTCATTGTAAGCATCAAACGTGTGCATGGCCTCCCTGAATTGTACCAATTAGGGCACTGTGCGTGTAGATACTAAATGCGAACATACATGAAGTTTAGACAGATATGGATCCAAAATGTAGAAAATGTCTGTCTGTCTGTCCGTCCGTCCGTCTGTCTGCAAAAAGTGTCTTGGTGTAAAACCGAACACATCTAATATTATGGTTTTCGGAGGCTTGGGTAGATTTCCATTGCTTACATATTCCTCCATTAAGGCCATAAAGTAGTGGGTAAGATTACTGCATATGCCATGCCATAGGTTTCCGAAAAAATCTTATGATATGATGAAATTGTATAACGAAAATGGGAAAGGAAATTGGATGGCTGATATTAGAGAGTTGTTGTACAAAACAGGTTATGGTTACGTGTGGTGTGATCATAACGTTCAATCCGATGCAAATATTATCATATTATTTACACAAAGAATGACAGACATGTATTTTCAATCTTGGTCGGAATCGTTACTTCTATCAATAAAAGGTTTATATTATAATCAATGTAAATCGGATATATTTTGTGAATACTATTTAGCAAACGTCCACGTACAAAAGTGTCGTGTATCTCTCTCGTTTTTGTTGCTCTACCCATGAATTATTTATTGAAACTGGCAGTTATGCAGGTATACAAACAGGATATGTCAATTATGTAATATGAATACTGTTGAGGATGAACTACATTTCCTTCTAATCTGTCCTGTTTATACGACTCTACGAACGAAATACCTAAATCCATACTATTTTAAGCATCCAACTGTAAGGAAATTAATTTCATTATTAACAGATGCTACCACATTAATATTACAGAATTTGGCAATGTGCATCTATTTCGCTATGAGTTTAAGAAAAAGGATTGTTATAGAAAAGAATTTGTAAAAGACGTCCGTGTAGGAAAGTGCTCAGCAGTATAAGAAAGTGTTCCGCTGTGTAAGAAAGTGCTCAGCGGTATAAGAAAGTGTTCCGCAGTTCCGCAGTGTAGAAGTGCTCAGCAATGTAGAAGTGCTCAGCAGTGTAAAAGTCCTCAGCAGTGAAGGAAAGTGTTCAGCAGTGTAACAAAGTATTCCGCAGTGAAGGAAAGAGTTCCGCAATGAAGGAAAGTGTTCCGCAGTGAAGGAAAGTGTTCAGCGGTGTAGGAAACTGTTCTACAGTGAATGAAAGAGTTCCGCAGTAAAGGAAAGTGTTCAGCAGTGAAGGAAAGTGTTCAGCAGTGAAGGGACGAGTTCAGCAGTGACGGAAAGTGTTCCGCATTGAAGGAAAGTGTTCAGCAATGAAAGAAAGTGTTCAGTGGCGTAAGAAACTGTTCAGCAGTGAAGGAAAGTGTTCAGCAGTGAAGGAAATTGTTCAGCAGTGAAGAAAATGTTCAGCAGTGAAAGAAAGTGTTCCGCAGTGAAGGATAAGTCAGCAGTGTAAAAGTGCTCAGCAGTGAAGGGAAGTGTTTATCAGTGAAGGAAAGTGTTCAGCAGTGAAGGAAACTGTTTCGCAGTGAAGGTAGCAGTGAAGGAAAGTGTTCAGCGGTGTAAAAGTGCTCAGCAGTGAAGGAAAATGTTCCGCAGTGAAGGAAAGTGTTAAGCAGTGAAAGAAAGTGTTCCCCAGTATAAGAAACTGAAAGTGTTCAGCAGTGAAGGAAAGTGTTCAGCGGTATATGAAAATGTTCCGCAATGAAGCAAAGTGTTCAGCAGTGAAGGAAACTGTTCCTCAGTGAGGCAAAGTGTTCAGCAGTGAAGGAAACCGTTGCGCAGTGAAGCAAAGTGTTCAGCAGTGAAGGACACTGTTCCGCAGTGAAGCAAAGTGTTCAGCAGTGAAGGAAACTGTTCCTCAGTGAAGGAAACTCTTCAGCAGTGAAAGAGTGCTCAGCAGGGAAGGAAAGTGTTCAGCAGTGAAGAAAAGTGTTCAGAAGTGAAAGCCTCTTTCGGCTGTGTAAGCAAACTGAAGTGGATCAAGTAAATGATTTGTCGGCCTTGGAAGTATTTTTGATAATACGTTTCTAAGGTGGCTTGGCTGTCGATAATTAGAAGGAGGGCTTTGACTTTTATGTACACGTAGATAGCATTTAATGTCCTCCAAAGTAGAGGAAAGTGCACGGACATGAACATGCACGCAGACACACGCACACGCGCATGAATTTGCTATATAACAACAGTGTCTTGTCAGTTATCTTTTACGTTGTATTTTCTTAGTGCTGGAGCACATTACAAAATTCCGCTTGGTATAAAAGGTTCCCATTAGTATTATCCCTCCTTAGTCCAAACCAATATCACGTCCGTCAACAAACTGACACGATTCTATAAAGCAATTTGCACAGTGTGAATACCCGTCCTCTGCACCCTCACCAGCCAAAGCTAGTTACACCTACCTCGACCTAAGGGCGGAGCTATCACACAGACTAAAAACACATGACAAAAATCTTGCCAAAGTTAGAGTCGTTCCCAACTGCATTCAGACAGGTCTGTATTTTTTGTATCTTACTAAATTATTTTAATTTATTTGACTACATTAGTATCGAGGAAGAAGTCATTTCCTTTTAACGGTAAGACATATACATGTGTAACCTGCACTAGCTGTTGCATGACTTAGTCCAATATAATACTGTCTGTACAACTACCCATCTCCTATCGTGTCAACAGCAGTCTGTTAATCAAACCACATAAAAAGATATAATTCAAGAAGAATCAGCCAATAACTATTAGACCTTAGCTTTTCGTACTTCGTGTTTGTGATAATTCAAATAAGTATTGACGCAGTTACTTTTTTATGGTCACTGTGTGCACATTTAGTTTACACTGTAAGTTTTCAAAAATTTAGTTCATATAGCAACTGTAACTGATGTAGCCAGTTTATACAGTAACTATTAATGCAGTCAGTGTATACGATACAGTTATATTTATACCGTTACATTGTACTGTTACTATGGATTCAATTAGTGTATAACTTATTACTCATACGGGTGAGGAGATCACGTGTAACAGTTTGAGCAGTTTGGTTTCATCTGCGCAATAATACAGATCAACTGATTTAGTTGTAAACACTCACAGAAGAAGATTCGGCTTTGCGTTCATAAATACTGATTTCTCGGTTTAATTATAGAATGGATACTAAATATAATATCCTACGATGTACGTGTGATTACGGGAAATATGTCCCTCGTGAAATTAATGTTCGCTAAAGGTCGGGACAGTGAACATTAATTACACTCTGGACATATTCACCGTAATCACTCGTACCTCGTGGGTTATTCTGTAATTTGTTTACACTGCAACTAGTACAGTTAGTTGTCACTGTACCTATTAACACAGTTTGTTTATAATTCAATTCTCAACAACGGTTAATGTCAACGTTGTATTTGACTACATAACGTTTGCATACAGAGCATATAGGGAAAGCATTCAGATTGTACTAGCGTGTACCACGAACTCTTAGATTGGTGCTCATTTTATTGACCCCTACTTTACTGCTTAACGCATGTGCTAAAACACGCGAGTCCACATCGATAATTGGAAATATCTGAGCTTTGTCCTCACCTGCCATTTTGGTTTGTTTTCAGGATGCTCGCCCTCCGTCTCACCGTGTTCGCCCTCCTCGTCTGTGGTACCTGTGGTTTCTCAGGGTATATCACGATTTTCACCAAAACCGAAACTATCTAATTTTGTCAAATGTGCTCGTATATAACATATCATGCCAGCTTCATCGTATAATAACAAACACACTGTGTGCAGTACGGGTTAGAATAGATACCTAGAAATCTAGTCTAATGGCAACTTGATGAGTCGCTCTATCAGAATGGTGACTTCGTCGATTGTATGTCATCGTAATCTGACGGGGCGCGTTGTTGCTCATAAATCACGAAATCATTTGATTGTCTTAGCAGCATTAAACCCAATTATTTCATTCCTGTTCTTAAGGTACTGGTTCAACTTGTTTAACCACTGCAACCCACCTGAGCAGATGGTGGGCAAGTTCTGCGTTATTCTGCTGGACAACAACTACGACGGTGACAACAATGTAACCAACAGAGACATCCACTACGATTCCCTGTTTTACGACTATGATGGTAAGCTTTGTTTATGGACAGGTCATTTGAAACTTTGGTGTGTGGACAGGTCATTTGGTACTTTGGACTACGGACAGGTCATTTGATACTTTGGTGTACAAACAGGTCATTTGATACTTTGGTGTACGGACAGGTCATTTGACACTTTGGTGTATGGACAGGTCATTTGATACTTTGGTCTATGGACAGGTCATCTGATACTTTGGTGAACGGACAGGTCAGTTGATACTTTGGTGTACGGACATGTCATTTGATACTTACTTTGGTTTATAAACAGGTCATTTGATACTTTAGTCTATGGACAGGCCATTTGATACTTTGGTGTATGGACAGGTCATTTGATACTTTGGTCTATGGACAGGTCATGTGATCCTTTGGTCTATGGACAGGTCATTTGATACTTGATAAAGTTGAATATATCTTCTGTTGTACTCCTTTCCAACGAACTGTGTTGAATTCTCCATCATAAGGGATAAATATTTCAATATCAAAACAGTAAAGGACCTATTTATTAATGTTTATTATCATTTAATCATTGATTTTTTAAAAGAGATAGATTTGTTAAATGGATTTTGATATATGTTTTGTAAATAGATGAGGTTTTATAATTGGTAGTTTAGATTATCAACTTCGATTGTTAGTGTCTGTATCCTCAGAAGGGGGTTAAAGAACAAAAATATTATTGTCCTCCTGAGAGGGTACGTAAGTCCCAAAGCTTTCAAGGTCAGTCTCGCTCTACCGAACTTTTAATCGTAGCATATTCGTTGTTTTAAATTACGGCTTCACTTTCCTACAATCGCCAGCGGCTGAAGGGATGGTGTAAATCCAACTAGGGTCCATGCAGGCAGCAAAAGCAATGTAAGTCCCCTGGTATGGTGATCTACCTTCAGTTGTTGGCGATCTTTAGCGCATTTTATACTGTATTGTCCTCCTATGAAATCCAGTTCTAGAGAGAGATGCTAGTTTTATTTCTTGACACTGTGATATTCAAGTCGGTTTTACTGTCCTTCGATTACAGGTTTTTATAATTTGTTAAATATTTATGGTGAATTCTAAACTTGTGTTAGTCACGATATGGCTGAAATATTGCCAATGTGACTTTACAATTTAAATTACTCACTCGCTATTTCTAATGAGAGGATATGGAGTCACTAAAAAAATTTCAGAAGGTTGTTATACCAAAGAGTTCATATATATGTGTTGGTGTATGCCATGTGCATAGAGTCCAGGTCACAAATCAGTTAAGCAACGTTGGGTGTGGAGAGGTCTTGGATGGGTGGCCGTGTTTGACAGCTTGACTCCTGAGAGTTTCTAGGACTCACCTGAGGCAAATGAGTTTGTTCACAATTGCCTCTGTTCACCCAGCAGCAAATGGGTACCCGGTGGGATAAGTCATGTGACTATCACCCTACTAGTACCTTACATGCAGCTTAGGTTATCCGGGGTGGTAATATCCATAAAGTTGTATGCGCTTAGAGCATGCCTCTGTGGCATGGTGTTCAGTGCTATATAAGTGGCTTTATTATTATAAAGTAGTCGGATCTTAACTGTAATGTACAAAGACAGCAGTTGAGACCTTTGGTATTTTGGCAATGTTTCGGCAACCTGTGTTCTTACTTCAGAAGATGCTGAAGAAAACGTAAAGATCCAAACATACATTATTCAACAATTTATCCACAGGTGAGCTTTGCACCATGCACGAATGGGAGCTCGTGACCAAATGGACGTGTAGGTTTGGCTTCTCCGAGGAATTTGGGAGATTCATGTTCAACCGCTTCGACATCATCGAAGATGGCGTCGTGACCGAAGGAGACTTCGGTGCACCATTGAGTAAGATACATTTTCAAGGTCTGACTCCACTGGCTGGTGGTTTTAGCATCGTCATCAAAAACCCATGGTGATATTTAAGCAACGTCATCAAACACCCATGGTGATGTTTCAAAAAATTATATTTCCCGAAATGGAACGTTTGCCTTTACTGTAATATTTCAAATGGTCGGAATGGCTTCTTGTCACTTCACAAGTATTCGCATACATGCAGATATCTTATATACAGATATCTTATATACAGATATTTCGTCATGAGGACTGTGTCCTTGTGAGTCCTGTGTTTCAAATGATTTATTTAAGTTTAATATGATTCAGCATGCCCAACCTGCCACATACCGGTTACTTTTAGCGAATGGCTGAAATACCCCCCTCGCACACATTGCAAACAAAAGCATGGATCATAAGATTGACTGACAAAGTTATATGTCAAGTGTGTCACATGTCGCCATGATGCTAGAATTCTCGCATTCAATATAAAAGCTTTTAGCAATATTCCAGCAACATCACGGCGGGGGACACCAGAAATGGGCTTCACACATTGTACCCATGTGGGGATTCGAACCCGGGTCTTCGGCGTGACGAGCCAACGCTATAACCACTAAGCTACCCCACCGCCTCGACAACGGTACAAGAATCTGTATCGAAACGTCGTACTCACGAAATAAAAGAAGTTAAACATTATCCATCAAGGTGAACTTGTTCAATACGTCCCAACTTCTGATATGCCACTCAAAGATGTTACCTCACCCATTCACAGATACAATGATATGGACATACGTTAACCGTTATCCCTCCCACAGGTTGTATACAGGACAAACTACGCCATTGTTTTTCAACAGGATCCTCGCTGTTCCCTAACACCTAGTTCACCACTTTTACATGTGTTTGATTCCTTTTCAGGTTACACTGCTGACAACTTCTTAGTGATGAATTTCAACGTAAGTAAATCATCAGTTACGCCCGCCTATTAAACGGCTCGGTAACCCCTATAACTATGTAAGAAACCAGGTTAGTATCTATAACGAATATATACAATAACATTTTATATAACCTCCTTTTTTCATTTAACTAAACCTTGTTATAACGTACTGATAATGTGGTTACAGTTCATTAATTCCAGAATTGGCTTTGTTTGAAAAACTGATCAAAGTGATATACACATGTCGTGGGGCAGGTTCATCCCAAGAATTGTCAACAAACAGCACCATACCTCCACGTCATTTTCTGATTTCCTGACATATTTATATCAGAGTGATATAACATATGATATACTACTGTTGTATAGCATATGCAACGTCATTCTGATATAAATATGGTGTACCCTATTAGCACTACTCATTTCATTCAGTCAATCTCTTCCTGTCTACAGCTTTACAAGAACCTCTACTGCGGTGACCCGAAGAACAGGGAGAACCCCGTTGACCGCGTCCAGTGTGCCGAGGTAGATGCGCTGACTCCCGAGGACATCAAGTGTACATAAGGAGAAACCACATCAACCAGTCATGTACAAACGTCAATAAAACTGTTGGCAGTAACAAGTGTTTTGTACTCCCTGGTTATGTTGCAGCCTGTGGTCTGGTCATGTACCGGTATCGCGAAGAACGTTATTATAAGGGTAATGCTACTTTTGAGGGCATTATAATTTGCAGAAGCCCGAGGTCTTCCATTATCTGCCCGACGAAGGAGGGCAGTTGAAAAAGACCGAGGGCTTCTGAAAAAATGATAATGCTCTCAAAAATAGCATTACCGTTATTATTGCTAAAATACATGGAATTTGTGTTGAAAAGAAAAAGGAAACAATGAAGGAATTTGACTGTAAGTTTACCCAAATCAACTTCTGACGGGATTGACTGCCCGAATGCAATTACGTCATCGAACAATTCAAGTGACGTCACAACAGAAAGTGACGATATTCGACCTTGTCCTTTGACAAGACCATAGCCTGCAACATGTCAAACTATGGCAGTGTTCGGTTTTGGTCCATCAACAGTCTTAATAGTGCAATTGTTAAGGTTAGCACCAACAAGAAAGCCAATATTACCGCTATTTAAAGCGGGAATTTGGGTTGCTTTGACTTGTTTGACCCAGAATATCTGCCAGTCGAAAGCCAATTAATGTCGAACTATGACGTCACTTGACAACAGAACTGATAGTGGCCCGTCGTTAAGGTTGAGCGGTCCAATATCATTTGCAGCGGACCGCAAATTTCTGATAATGGGAGGGCCGTTTCATGATAATTCCATGTATTTTAGCTATAATGGAAATTCATATAAAGATTCATACGGGGAGACAGATCTCTGATACCAATTGCTCCACGAAATCCAACCATTTGGAGACGGCCCTGTCATGATGTGGGGACGTGTCGCATATGATTCTTAACTGGACTCGTCAGTGATATTCTAAACGGGGAATGTTATCCATGACGCGACAGTAATTCCCCATTCTCACAAACACCCCTCCTCCCTCGTCTTTACGTATGACAATGCTAGCTCCCGTTGAATTGTTATTTACCATCTGCGCCGGTATATATCATCGACAATTGGAACTGGCCGGCTAAACCTCCTGACGTCAATCCAGAGGAGCACCCGTGGGACCTGTTAGGACAAAGTGTTAGCGCCCGGAACCCTCCTGTTCACGCCATCCAGGAACTGGATGAGGCGCTTCACGAAGAGTGAGTCACATCCCACAAGACAAGATACGACGTCTCGTAGCTTCCAAGAGCAGGGTAGTTAGATACGTCATCAGACTGGCTGGTGGATACACTAAATATTGACAGTAGTGCTTGATAACACGGTAAACTGGTGTGTTTTCATGATATACACATGGTGTTGTTCTGTCCCCATACTTATGGCCTGGTATCATATACTCAATATAGTTCACTAAAGTTTAAAAAGTGGAACATTGATTGCTGTTATCGAAACATCATTTGAAATGGCATAACAAGAAGTGCTCTTACCTCGCCATCTTTCAGGAAACATTAAACTCAAGGGTGTTCTCAATTAGTCCCTTTGTTCAATATAGTCAAAAATAAGTATGGTGCTTAACTTTTGCCCAGATATTTTTTGGTACATATGAGTGCGTGTGCGTGCGTGCATGTGCGTGTGTTTTGAACGTCAACTATTATATTGTGTATTCACTTTGGATTACTCAGGATTCAGCTATTATATCACCATGTCCATAGTGTGTGAACTATGACATTCCAGTGGTTGATAGTGGGAGCATCTGCCACTGTCGTTGTGATACCAAGACGATGAGCTACGTCATACAAAAACACCAGATCCTCATTTCCTCAAAGAGTCTTGTGGGTGGGTGCTAATGGAACAGTTACGATCTTGTTCATATTCACTGATTTTATCTTAAGGAAATGTTTACGTATAAGTGTCTTGACAAGGGCCCTGACATAATACGACATTTCAGTTTGGTCCCTACTGACGAGAAACAATTTCTGTATTTTAAACATTGAAACATTTGCTCCTTCAGATTTGTTATGTCTGCGTAATTTATTATCAAACAATGTTGAATTTGTATTATATTGTTTTTATAACGATTCAGTAGACGTTCATAGCACTGTGTTGCGACAACAGTTAGTTGACGTGAATACAGTACTGCCGTATTTATGTAATCAGGGCGGTGAAACATTTATTCAGAGTTTGACGCCTTTAGGGTCAAGTGCGGTATGGATGCCGTATTTATGGAATCAGGGCGGTGAAACATTTATTCAGAGTTTGACGCCTTTAGGGTCAAGTGCGGTATGGATGCCGTATTTATGGAATCAGGGCGGTGAAACATTTATTCAGAGTTTGACGCCTTAGGGGTCAAGTGCGGTATGGATGCCGTATTTATGGAATCAGGGCGGTGAAACATTTATTCAGAGTTTGACGCCTTTAGGGTCAAGTGCGGTATGGATGCCGTATTTATGTAATCAGGGCGGTGAAACATTTATTCAAAGTTTGACGCCTTTAGGGTCAAGTGCGGTATGGATGCCGTATTTATGGAATCAGGGCGGTGAAACATTTATTCAGAGTTTGACGCCTTAGGGTCAAGTGCGGTATGGATGCCGTATTTATGTAATCAGGGCGGTGAAACATTTATTCAAAGTTTGACGCCTTTAGGGTCAAGTGCGGTATGGATGCCGTATTTATGGAATCAGGGCGGTGAAACATTTATTCAGAGTTTGACGCCTTAGGGTCAAGTGCGGTATGGATGCCGTATTTATGTAATCAGGGCGGTGAAACATTTATTCAAAGTTTGACGCCTTTAGGGTCAAGTGCGGTATGGATGCCGTATTTATGGAATCAGGGCGGTGAAACATTTATTCAGAGTTTGACGCCTTAGGGGTCAAGTGCGGTATGGATGCCGTATTTATGTAATCAGGGCGGTGAAACATTTATTCAAAGTTTGACGCCTTTAGGGTCAAGTGCGGTATGGATGCCGTATTTATGTAATCAGGGCGGTGAAACATTTATTCAAAGTTTGACGCCTTTAGGGTCAAGTGCGGTATGGATGCCGTATTTATGGAAATAGGGCGGTGAAACATTTATTCAGAGTTTGACGCCTTAGGGTCAAGTGCGGTATGGATGCCGTATTTATGTTATCAGGGCGGTGAAACATTTATTCAGAGTTTGACGCCTTAGGGTCAAGTGCGGTATGGATGCCGTATTTATGTAATCAGGGCGGTGAAACATTTATTCAAAGTTTGACGCCTTTAGGGTCAAGTGCGGTATGGATGCCGTATTTATGTAATCAGGGCGGTGAAACATTTATTCAGAGTTTGACGCCTTTAGGGTCAAGTGCGGTATGGATGCCGTATTTATGGAATCAGGGCGGTGAAACATTTATTCAGAGTTTGACGCCTTAGGGTCAAGTGCGGTATGGATGCCGTATTTATGTTATCAGGGCGGTGAAACATTTATTCAGAGTTTGACGCCTTAGGGTCAAGTGCGGTATGGATGCCGTATTTATGTAATCAGGGCGGTGAAACATTTATTCAAAGTTTGACGCCTTTAGGGTCAAGTGCGGTATGGATGCCGTATTTATGGAATCAGGGCGGTGAAACATTTATTCAGAGTTTGACGCCTTAGGGGTCAAGTGCGGTATGGATGCTCATATTTATGTAATCAGGGCGGTGAAACATTTATTCAAAGTTTGACGCCTTTAAGGTCAAGTGCGGTATGGATGCCGTATTTATGTAATCAGGGCGGTGAAACATTTATTCAAAGTTTGACGCCTTTAGGTCAAGTGCGGTATGGATGCCGTATTTATGGAAATAGGGCGGTGAAACATTTATTCAGAGTTTGACACCTTAGTGTCAAGTGCGGTATGGATGCCGTATTTATGTTATCAGGGCGGTGAAACATTTATTCAGAGTTTGACGCCTTAGGGTCAAGTGCGGTATGGATGCCGTATTTATGTAATCAGGGCGGTGAAACATTTATTCAAAGTTTGACGCCTTTAGGTCAAGTGCGGTATGGATGCCGTATTTATGTAATCAGGGCGGTGAAACATTTATTCAAAGTTTGACGCCTTTAGGGTCAAGTGCGGTATGGATGCCGTATTTATGGAATCAGGGCGGTGAAACATTTATTCAGAGTTTGACGCCTTAGGGTCAAGTGCGGTATGGATGCCGTATTTATGTTATCAGGGCGGTGAAACATTTATTCAGAGTTTGACGCCTTAGGGGTCAAGTGCGGTATGGATGCCGTATTTATGTAATCAGGGCGGTGAAACGTTTATTCAGAGTTTGACGCCTTTAGGGTCAAGTGCGGTATGGATGCCGTATTTATGTAATCAGGGCGGTGAAACATTTATTCAGAGTTTGACGCCTTTAGGGTCAAGTGCGGTATGGATGCCGTATTTATGTAAGCAGGGCGGTGAAACATTTATTCAGAGTTTGACGCCTTAGGGTCAAGTGCGGTATGGATGCCGTATTTATGGAATCAGGGCGGTGAAACATTTATTCAGAGTTTGACGCCTTAGGGTCAAGTGCGGTATGGATGCCGTATTTATGTAATCAGGGCGGTGAAACATTTATTCAGAGTTTGACGCCTTTAGGGTCAAGTGCGGTATGGATGCCGTATTTATGTTATCAGGGCGGTGAAACATTTATTCAGAGTTTGACGCCTTTAGGGTCAAGTGCGGTATGGATGCCGTATTTATGTAATCAGGGCGGTGAAACATTTATTCAGAGTTTGACGCCTTTAGGGTCAAGTGCGGTATGGATGCCGTATTTATGTTATCAGGGCGGTGAAACATTTATTCAGAGTTTGACGCCTTAGGGTCAAGTGCGGTATGGATGCCGTATTTATGTACTCAGGGCGGTGAAACATTTATTCAGAGTTTGACGCCTTTAGGGTCAAGTGCGGTATGGATGCCGTATTTATGTTATCAGGGCGGTGAAACATTTATTCAGAGTTTGACGCCTTTAGGGTCAAGTGCGGTATGGATGCCGTATTTATGGAATCAGGGCGGTGAAACATTTATTCAGAGTTTGACGCCTTTAGGGTCAAGTGCGGTATGGATGCCGTATTTATGTTATCAG